AGGTAGAGTTATTCACTGAAGTGCTGCCAATATTTTAACAATAGTCTTCCACAAGAAGGCTGTCCTTGGATTGTGATAAATGCCAGGACTTACCTATATATGTTTGCACAGAGGAGTGAGGGGGCTGAGTAAACTATTCATATGTTGTTTAAACAAAAACATTTTCCCACAGTCGGAATCAAAGTGGTCATCAAAAATACTAATGCTGATCCATAACTGCAGGCAAATACTGAGCAGAGTACCTCAGGTGCCTGTACATGAATGCACAGAGCTTGGGAAACAAGCATGAAGAACTGGAGGTCCTCACATAGGCACAGAACTATGACATGATGGGAATAACAGAGACTTGGTGGGATAGCTCACATGTCTGGAGCTCTGTCATGGATGGGTACAAACTGTTCAGGAAGGACAGGCAGGGGAGAAGAAGAGGAGGAGTAGGATTTTTACGTAAAAGAGCTATATGATTGCTTAGAGCTCCAGTATGAAACTGGAGATAGGCCTTTTGAAAGTCTCTGGGTTAGGGTCAGAGAGGAAAGCAACAAGGATGATGCTGTGGTGGGTGTTTGCTATAGACCACCAGACCAGGAGGATGAGGTGGATGAGGCTTTCTTCAAACAGCTAGCAGAAGCTTCATGATCACAGGCCCTGGTTTTTATGGGGGACTTCAATCACCCTGACATGTGCTGGGAGGTGGAGTCGGCCAATGTGATTGCAGAGCTGCCAGTCATTATCTTTGAAAACCTGTGGCAATTGGGAGAGGACTTGCATGATTGGAAAAGGGCAAATATAGTGCCCATGTTTAAGAAAGGGAAGAAGGAGGATCTGGGAAACTAACCACTGGTCAGCCTCACCTTAACCCCTGGAAAATTCATGGAGCAGGGCCTCTAGGAATCCATTTCTAAGCACTTGGAGGAGAACAAGGTGATTAGGAACAGTCAGCATGGATTCACCAATGGTAAGTCATGCCTGACCAACCTGATTGCTAACAACCTACTCAAATCACAATTTCACAGATTTTGCAGAAATCATGAAATCAGGCAACCTCCACAAAATCCATGGGAAAAAAAAACTTACTAAAAATAAAATACTGGCTTCCCAGTGGGAACCAGCAGTCCTCCTCAGCTGCCAGCCCAGCACAGAGGACTCCCAGCATGAACCTGAGCAGGCAAGATGGCTGCCACCTCTACCCCTTGCTCTTGATTGGCTGAGGCTGCCTGCCGTGTAGTCCCCTCCCTCTCCACCACTTGGGGGCAAGGGGGCAATGCTGTATAATGCACAGCCCTCTCAGCCAATCAGCAGTGAGGGGCACAGCCCATGAAATCAGCTGGCTGTCACTTTGGGTAGGCTCCTACTGATTGTCTTCTGTGATGAGATGATTGGCTCTGTGGGTGCAGGGAGAGCAGTGGATGCAATATACCTTGACTTCAGCAAGGCTTTTGATTAGGGCTGTCAGTGAATTGCAATTAACTTATGCTATTAATGCAAAGACAAATTAATGCACTATTTTTTTTTAATTGCATTAATTGTGCAGATTGTTTTGACCAGTGAAGTGGACCAGCTAGAACCCATGTGCACAGCCCTGCCCCCAGCCTGCCTCATACTTGCTCCAGACTCACCCACCCATCCTGAGCAGTGGCAGCGGTCAGGCAGAAGCTGCTACTTGCCACTGGGGAAAAGCAGTCCCTCTCCCTCACCACTGCTGGGCCCTTCTTGCTGCAGCTGCCCAGAGCCTGTGCCTGGGCTGCCCCATGGCTCCTCTCCATTGCTGTCACCACCGCCTCTGGTCTGCTCAGCAGCAGTGGCAGTGTAGAGGAGCTGCAGGGCATCCTGGGCATGGGCTACAGGTGGTTGCAGCCAGAAGGGCCCAGCAGCAGTGAGGGGTGGGGGGGTACTTTTTCTCTGTACTGAGCAGCAGCTTCTGCCTGGCTGCTGCTGCTGCTCAGTGTGGGAAGATGAGTCTGGAGCTGGCATGTGGTGGACCAGGATCAGGGCTTTTTGCATAGGTTCCAGCTGGTCCGCTCTGGCCAGGGTGAGTCTGGAATGGGTGTGGGACAAGACGGGGCTATGTGCTCTTGGTGGTGGTGGTAGGGAGTTGCAGGGCGCCTGGGCTCTGTGCTGTTGGGTTGGGGGGACTGACTGTTGTTTAACTGTGCAATTAAAATTGTGATTAATTGTGACTTTTTCTAAATCCCGCAATTAATTGCTATTCTTTTAAAAAATAATTTGTCAACCCTATTTTTTATATGGTCTCGTATGACATTCTTGCAAGCAAGATAAGGGAGTATGGGTTGGATGAATGGACTGTAAGGTGGCTGGATCGTTGGGCTCAAAGAGCAGTAAGTATCAATGGCTCAAGGTATAGCTGGCAGACACTATGAAGCAGAGTGCCTCAGGGGTCAGTCCTGGGGCCGGTTTTGTTCAATGCCTTCATCAACGACCTGGAAGGTGGGATGGAGTGCACTGTCAACAAGTTTTCAGATGATACCAAGCTGCAGGGAGTAGTAGATACACTGCAGGGTAGGGCTAGGATTCAACAAATCAGAGGATTGGACTAAAAGAAATCTCATGAGGTTCAATAAGGACAAGTGCAAAGTCCTGCATTTAGGAAGGCATGATCCCATGCACCAATACAGGCTGAGGACTGACTGGCTAAGCAGCAGCTGTGCAGAAATGGACCTGGAGACAATAAGCCGTGGACAATGAATTGAATATGAGCCAACAGTGTGCCCTTGTTGCAAAGAAGGCTAACTGTCATACTGGGCTGCATTAGCAGGAACCTTGCCAGCGGATCAAAGGAAATAACTTTTCACCTCTTTCCAGCACTCTTGAGCCACATCTGGAGTGCTATCTTCAATTTTGCCTCCCCCACCTCCCACAGAAAGGATATGGACAAATTGGTCCAGCAGAGGGCAATGAAAATGGTTAGGAGGCTGGGGCACATGATTTATGAGAAAAGGCTGAGGGAACTTGGTTTATTTAGTTTGGAGAAGAGAAGACTGAGAGGGATTTACTAGCCACTTTCAGCTATCTGAAGGCGGGTTCCAAAGAGAATGGAGCTGGGCTTTTCCCAGTGGTGGCAGATGAGATGACACAATAAGGAACAATGGTCTCAAGTTGCAGCAAGGGAAGTTTAGGTTATAAAGTAGGAAAAACTTCTCACAAGAAGTGTAGCAAAGCACTGGAACAGGTTACCCAGACAGGCTGTGCACTCTCCATCCTTGAAGGTTTTTAAGACCCCAGTAATCAAAGCCTTGGCTGAGAAGATGTAGTTGGGGATGGTCCTGCTTTGAGCAGGGGGTTGGACTAGATGACCTCCTGAAGTCTCTTTCAACTCTATGATTCTATGAAATAGGGAAACAGAACTACATCTGTAGGTGGCATGGGTGAGATCATTACTGGAATACTAGCTCCTGTTCATATCACAAATATCATTACCATAACTAATCAGGACTCATGGTAGAGGTGATATCTTTTATTAGACCAACTAGATTTTTGCAAAAAGATTTATTTAATTGCAAGCTTTCGGACACTTGCAATTCAAGATTTTTTTTTTTGTGCAAAAATCTAGTTGGTCTAATAAAAATATATCACCTCTTCCACAAGTCCTGATTGCTTTTGCTTGTAGACCAATACGGCTACAACCTGAATACCCATTGGCAGTGGGTATTCAGGTTGGTAGTGTCAGTTAAAAGGCCAAGAACAGAAATGTCGTGGACATTGAGATGATAGTCACCCACAGAGGCATCCCTGCTAGACTAGGACTGAGGCCCTTGGATAAGAAGAGGAAATTTTAAGATGGTGCTCTGCATGCTATAGATAAAAATTGGACTTCAGTCTCCTAGGTTGTGATGGCTCTGAATATCTTCATTTTTTAAAGGTCATTAAAAATTATTATTTTGACTGTCAGGGAGAATGATTCCATTATTTTCTTTCAGTTGTAATTTTGTGTGAGATTATAAGATTACTTCCAGTTTGGCTATGAGCAGACTCCAGGTCTGTATGAAGCAGTTGTGGTTTCCAGAACCCAGGAATTAAATTGTGCTTCTGTATCACAGGTGACAACAACTCCCAGTAGCTGGATCCTCAGCTGTCCCGCCCTAGCAGCAGTTAGATTAGGAGACCACTTTAATTTCTGCCATTGTTTTAAGATCCATAACATAATGGACATTATGTCATTGATAAATTGGGCACACTGGAGCTCTGCTCCATTATACTCCTTCCCATGCCCAGAGTACCACCGGCATCCACCATTACAGAAAGGATGAAGCTGGATAGCATAGATGGTGGCAAAGGTGCTTTTCCCACATTGCTGCCAAGTGACAATTTTCCTACACAAGGGAATTCTCCATCACCAATTTCTAGTAATTTAAAGCCACCAGCAGCTAACAGTATCCAGGATTTCTTTGCTGCCTCTCTCCCCTTCCCCATTCAATGAAGCAGCCAACCGAGAAAATTTTTTTCAAGCTATCCAAAAATATCAGTTTGATGTTAATGATATGTTCTTAAATGACACATTTTACATGTTTAGGTTACCGTTCAGCAAAAGAATGTGTAAAATCAAGATGGGAGAGTTTGTTGCAGCTTTGTCCTAAATAGTGCTTGCCTTGCAATGCTACATAATTAGCAAATGTTTATCCTGATTAGTAAAATTACACAAAAGATACAACCTTCTATACATCATTTTCATGCTCCTTATGAATTATCTGGAACTGACTTTCCTGCATGTTACTGGTACTTTTCCAATGGTTCATTCTCAGCTTTATTGGTTTTCATAGTTTATGTACATTAATTCAATATATACAATGCAACATAGAACAAACAGCATAGGTTTTCTTGCCTTTGTTCCAGGAATCAATGAGATTTCCTTCTGACACTTGAAAATATTACTAGTGGAGCAGAGATCACAAGTAAATGGCTGTAAAGGAATTTATGGATGAAATCCAAGCCTTTTGGAAATTGAAATAGCTTAATATAATTCTCCCAAGTCTTTCACTACTAAGATGTACAAGCCTATGTTTCTTATTATCAGTGTCAGGTACAAGTTCTGCATCAGACCTTGGGGAGACAGGATGCTCTATCAAAACTAGAGGTTGTTGGCTTGCAATGGACTTTAAAAGACTACATTTCTTTGATGCTTTATTTAAAATTCACTGAAATTACTCTTGGGGGATAAAATGTCACTGAGCTTCCTTAAATAACAGTTTTCCATGAATCATTACATTGCTCTTCTTGAGGGATGAGTAGGATAACTCTTATTGTGGGCTACAATGGCCTAAGATAGAGCTACTCGCAACTCAAAAGATATAAATTACTGAGGCATCTTACTATTTCAATTGCCACTGCAAGAAAAGTGTGGCTTCAGAGCATATTTTAGCATAATGGAGACTTATTGTTTCCTGAGTATAACCTATAACTATTCTACTGATACAAACTTCTCCCCAACCTGAATATTGCTCATCATTTATATATATATAGATATATATAGATACATAGATAGATAACCAGCATAATGGAAGGCAGTGTTTGGTGGTCAATGTATAAACCACTTGCAGATATCATTTATTACCAAAGATCCTGGTTTTCTCGTTTAAAAATAGCAAATTCTCTGATGAACCCTCCCAAATCGACAATTAAAATATATATATAGATATCAACTGAACGCAATGCTTTATTGCTATATATAAATGTTTTTAAAAGGGCTTGCAGTGGCAAGGAGCTTCCCAGCCAGGCCCCACTCTGCCCTGCTGCACTGGGCCCTGCCTGCTGGGCCACGGAGGTCCTGGGGAGAGGGCAACAGAGCACGGAGCCCCGAGCTCACAGCAGGCAGTCCACCCCCACCCCACACACAGATCTACAGGGCAGGTGTCTGCCTGCCCCCGCTGGGAGTGCACTCAGTATTGGGGAGCCAGCCCCCCTACCCCCAGATGAGCCCTCCGTGGCCCCTTTCTGTCCCCCGCCAGGGCCTTGCGGCCACACATTCTGGCCCCAGGCCCCACACACTGCCTGGCTGGGCAACAGCCCCAGCCCTGCCCAACTCCCTCCCTCAATACCTGCCCCCACCCTTCCAGACTTACCTGTAGGAGCTGTTCCCCAGGCTGCCTCAAGGCGATGTGCATATACATGCACTTGGCACCCCCTTCCTGACTGCCCTTTTCCCACTCCCCCCAGCCCCTTGCAGGCTGGAACTCTGCCAACCTGCAGAGAGCTCTTTGCAAAAGTGGAAAATCCACGTTTCTCCATTAAAATGAGAAATCTGCATTATTCTCAGTTCAAAGGGAAAATCCACATTTGGTCACATTTTCCGTGGGAAATAGAAAACCCAGATCCCTGTTTATTATCTGTATATGCATTAAAATAAAACTTAATTGCTTAGATACAAGGCATTTGGAAAGTAGCACTTCCAGAAATTAGGTTTCAGCCTTAGAGAATTATCTCCTCAGCAGTACCAGGAAGGTGGGACCTTCAGCATGGCAGAGCAAAGGGACAGGACTGGTTGTCTTCAAGTGTAAAAGGGAAGTTGACATGAATATTTTTTACATCAAACCTTCTGGGTCCTTGATGGGCCTCTTTCTGTAGGTGTATGCAAGAGAAGAGAATGGTAGTGTAAGAGTGATATCGTAGCCCTGATAGTGCAGAAATGAACACAGAATTGCCATTTGTCAGGTCAACCCATAGATCCATTTTGCCCAGTCTCCTGTGTCACATGGTGGTAGAGAGCGAATGCTGAAAAGGAGAGAGAACTAGGTATGACCAGGGTTTTTGTTTTCCACTGTTCCCAACTCACTTGCAGCCTCCTGCATTTAAGGGCTAGGAAGTTCTAATTCAGAGGCTGTGTCCTAGGGTGATCTCACCCATCCCTAACTGGGTGGGACAGTCCTGAAATGTAAACATCAAGTCCTGCCCCAGGCTGAATGACTGCTTCTGGGACGGCATTTGTCCTGGATTCCCCTTGACACAGTCAAACCATCGAGCCAGTATCATGTGCAGGGATCCAGGTTTCTGTTCGCTGCAGAAAAACACAGATTTTCTTCTTAAACAGACAAAACAGTGGGAAACTGCTGGATTCCCCTTTCAGGCTGGCAGAGTTCCAACCTGCAAGGGGCTGCTTGGGGCTAGTGGAAGCAGGATGCAGGGCATTGGCAACTGGTGTCTCCTGAGTCAGGGGAGGCACCAGTGAGCAACCCGGTGTGGGGGGCCCACAGCCAATCGCACCAACCGGGGTTGGGTGGGGGGGGAGAGGTAACTGGCATTTCCACGTTGGCGTGATCAGCTGCGGGGGAAGGTCAGCATGATCGGCCACAGGGGGACCACAGGGATTGCTTCTCCTGGCACCCCCACTTCCTAGTCCTCTTGCCTGCACCCCTACCAGTCGCCTAAGCGGGGAATGCTGGCTGTCAGGGAGTGCACCAGTGCTCTCAGGGGGTGCATGTGCACCTCATGCACCTCCTATGCATCGCCAGTGATGCAGGGGCGTCTCAATACCGCCAGGCAGAGTGGAGAGCAGCTCCTCCGCATGCCTATAGGTAAGTCTATACTGGGAAAGGGAGCATAGGGAACCTGGGAGGGGACAGATTGATGCCCTCATGATGAGGGAGGGAGTGGGGCAGGGTTGGCAGCTAGGGCTGGGAGGCAGTGTAAAGGGCACAGAACTGAGGCCGGAATGTGATTATAAGATGATTACTGCTGAGGCAGTGTAAGGGGCTCAGGGTTGAGGCACGTCCTGGCCAGGGACTAGGATAGAGCCACGGGCAGGTCGTCCAGGGGGCAGCAAAAGGGCATGTGTCCTGCTTTTGCATTTGGAAAAGATGCATCACCCTATTGTGTCCCTAACTCCCATGCTCAACAGCTACGGATGCCCCTTTCCTCCAAGAACCTGTCCTATCCCTTTTCGAACCTGGCTAACTTGACAGCTTTCCGCAACAAATCCAGCAACTGAATGAGACAGCATGGGACAAAGAGCTTCCTTGTGTTGCTTCTGAACTTCCTGCCTACAAGTTCGGTGTGGTGACCCCTAGTTCTTGTCTTGTGAGAGTCCATAATCAATCCCTATTGCCTGCCTTTGCCATTTAGCATTTTGTAGACCCCTTATCATGCCCTCCCCCTTCCACAAGGTACGGCTTTCTTAGGCCCCCTCTACACCTTACACGTCCTACCCAACTGCCTGGTTAATTGTGCAATTCATCTGCACCAGCTACAGCGAGAAATTCACTATCCTGCCTCAAAACCAACTCTCAACTGATGGCTGGCAAATGTGCAGTAACTTTGTAGCTGGTTTCTGTCCAGCTCTCCCCTGTGCGTGTGTGTTGGGGGGTGTAGTTTTTATGGGACCCACAGCACATGGGTGGGAGAGCCAGACAAGGCTGCGAGATGCTACCCCAGCTGTGCAGGCGTCACCCTTCCTCAGGGAAGGCAACACGACGTGCGTCACGTTTAGAGCAACTACGTCACGGACTGGCAGCCTACAGCTTGCGGGCGGCCCATGAAGAGATGGAAACCGCGGACGCCCAGGAGCTCAGAGCTGCGCGCCCCCCACCCCGCTATCAGGCTCGTGCCCTTCGCTCCGCAGCTCTGGGGGCCTTATGGCATCGGCATCAGCATCGGCATCGCTCCACCCCTCTCTCTACTGAAGGGCAGACCCCAGGGGGACGATTACGTTCCGGCTCCTTTAAGAGCGCTCCGCCTCTTTGCCACTTCCGGCCTCGTGCCCGGCCCGCCAGCCAATGTGAGAGGCCTGGGGTCGAAGGCGGGAGAATGCGAACCCCTCGCCGCGCCGCTTAGCCGCGCCTTATAAGGGCAGGCCCCCGCGCATGCGCAAAGCTTCACCGGCCAGGGGCGGGGGCTCGGAGGGGGTTTGCTTCGGCAGCGGCGGCGGCGGAGGCCGCGCGGGGGGAGGGGCG